GCCTCGCCACCTGGTTCTGACTTGACAGAATCGGGGGTGATGGGTTCGACGGGGCATGTGGGGGCGGGGGCAGGGGGCGTCGGCCCCGCTGTTCTTTGGGCGCTCCAGGATCGAGTCGGTGGCCAGCACGGGCATCGGGCAGTCCCAGCTTACCGACAAGTGCAGGCAGGCCGTCTCGGACGCCATGGTGTCTATGGCTCCCCAGGGCGCGAAGCTTGATCTATCCGTGGCGTCTATTCCAGGTGGCGACCAGTTCGAGGCGCAGTCGTGGCTCTTCGGATTGTCGCCGCAGATGCGTCGGGTGGTCCTCACGCCGAACTACGCGGCGTGCTTCAAGGTGTTGCTGGCGGGGCAGTGCGATCACCTCCTGATCGAGCTCGATTCCATGCTGAAGGCGGTTCCAGAAGTGTGCCCAGGCGTGGCTGCGGCGCAGGAGTTGACGGAGTCGGTCAGCAAGCTCACCAACATCAGGCCCCTCGTCGACGCGGGGGTGAGGATGTGGCGGCAGACGTTGCAGCCTGGAGCGGCGTTGTACATCCCCATGGGTTTCATTTGCGTGGAGGTGGCTTCGGAGCAGCGGCAGGTCCACTACGGCGTGAGGAAGAGTTGGTTCACGCACACCGCGGCGAGCATCAAGCACTACGAGCAGATCTTGGGCATGATGAAGATCGATCCTGCAGGAGACGGCCGCATGGAGAACATCCTCAGGGCCATGAGGGGCGCTGCTGCAGCAGCCAGGTCGGCGGCGCCCGAGCCGCTGACGCCTGTGAAGAAGGAGCAGTGGGACGTTATGTCCGCCAAGCTCGGCGAGCGTGTCGACTTGACGGCCGCGGAGCCCATCTCCGTTGCCGAGGACTACTTGTGATGATTGCGCGGGGCTTTCGGGGCAGGCAGGGTCAGCATTCGTGGGCCTGTTGGGGATCCGACCTTAGGGTCGCGACGAGTCCTCTAGCAGGTGTTTTTATTCGCTGACCGTGTCTTTGAAAGAGCATTGAAGGTGCTCAGTGCAAGGTGAGCGGCGCGAGTACTAGTGCGGTCTGTGCGCAGTCGCTTGGGCGAGTACGGCCGAGCCTTGTAGATTCCGTGTGCGCGCTGCGACGTACAGAATTGCTCGACGCGAGGCGTCGACCGCCTGACTGGCCACTTGGCTACCGCACGCAATCGAGATTCGGATGGCGCGGGGCTCGCAGCAGCGCCTGAAAATACCAGTTGCGTGCTTTTCTGGTCGTCGTCTCAACGAGTTTCGATCGAAGGCGCCATCGACGATTTATTGCGGCACGTTGCTTGCTTAAGGTGGCCGAAGGAATATCGTGGCGCATTTCGGGTCGTCCGTCAGAGTCTGAGCCTCTCGGTGGTATTGGAGCCCGTTTTTTTTTTCTTTTTCTTTTTCTCGGGGTCCTTCGAGGATTTTCTCGGGGCCGTGTCGGCGGTCTCGGGGCGCTCGTGGCGCGCGCGGTGTCGCCAGAGAATTTGAGGGCCAGGGAACATCTCGATGCCACATCGGGCATTTACTTCGCGGGCTACGCTGGCTGACTGAGTTTAGGCTAGCGTCAAGTCTAAAGCTTACGCCCTGACCACTAAGCCATGAACTCTAGCCCCTAAGGTCTGCGCCCAAAGGCCTGGGCCCCGAGGCCTAAGCCCCAAGCCGTACGCTTCAAGCCCTGAACCCCAACCCCTAGGCCCCGAACCGTAAACTCAAGCCCTGAACCCGAAGCTCGCAGCTCTCAGCCCCGAACCCTAAACCCGAAGCCCCGAACCCTAAGCCCGAAACTTTAAGTTTCAAGCCTTATGCCTTAACCCGTGAGCTTTGAACCCTAAGCCTTAAGCCCTAGCCCCATAATCTCTGAGTCTTACCCCCTCAGCCCGAAGTCCCGAACCCTCGGCTCCGAACCCCGAGCTCCGAACCCCAATCCCGAAGCCTGGGCCTCCAAGCCCTGAGCCCTAACCCCCAAGCCCAGAACCCTGCGCCCTAGCCCTAAGCCCTCGGACCCTAACCCAGCCCTCCGCGGCAAGCCCTGAACCCTGAGCCTTGAGCCCCGAACCCTGAGCCCCGAACCCTTGGCCGTAAGCCCAGAGCCTGGAGCATAAGCCCTAAGCACTAAGCCCTCAGCCCTCAGCCCCGAACCCGAAGCCCGAAGCTCGAAACCTTCTGCCCTAAGCCCTGAGGCCCGAACCCTAACCCCGAAGCCCCGAAGCCTAAACCCTAGCCCCTAATAGCCCTAAGTTCGAAACCTTGAGCCCTAAGCCCTAAGCCCTGAACCCTGAGCCCGATCCCCGAAGCTCCGAAACCGAAGCCCGAAGCCCCCAAGCCCTAAGCCCCGAGGCCTAAGCCAGCCTTGACCCCTAAGCCCCGACTCCTAACCCCTAAGCCCTGAACCCAAAGGCCTACGCCCTGAACCCTAAGCACCGAACCTTAATTCTTCAACCCTTAGCCTTAACCCCTAACCCCTAATCCGTAAGCTCTGAACCCAAAGACCACATCCCCAACCCTTCAGCTCCAAGCTCTAAGCCTTAAGCTCTAAGGTCGAGGCTCCAAGCCCTGAGACTGAACACCTAAGCCCTGCGCCCTAAGCCGAAAGCCTTGAGCCCTTGCCCTTAATCCCGAAGCCCAAAGCCCTAATCCTTATGCCCCGAACCCAAAGCCCGAAACCCCGAACCCTAAGCCCCCAGCCCTAAGCCCCAAGCCCCAAGCCCCAAGCCCTGAACCCTAAGCCCGAAGCCCTAACCCCTAATCCCTAAGCCCTTTGCCTTGAGCCCCAACCCCGAATCCCTAAGCCACAAGCCCGAAGCCCGAAGCCACAAGCCCCGAACCCGAACCCCCAAGGTCCGAACCCTAACCCCCTAATCCAGCTCTAGTTCACCCATGCTCCCTTCTCTTACCCTCTTCGTGCGGCCTGCCCTCGTTGCGCTTGTCTTGTTTTTTTCTTCCTCTCGCTCTTCCCCTGCGCCCCCTCCCGCTTCCACGTGCGAAAGCCTAGCAACGCATCATTGCGGCGACCCTCTTGCTTGGGCGTCATTTCCGAGTGGTTTTTCGCCGATCCCTTGCCGTAGATGATCTTCTGGCTCAAGGCGGCCAGTTTCTTCTGAATTCGCAGTGTTTGGGGATTTCGAAGCGAATCTAGCAAATTTCCGCGGGATTGGGGTGATCGAGCTTTCGAGGGGCCCAGGGGCTTCGATCGATCGGTTCAAGTTGCATTTGTATGGTTTCCTTTCGTTGAGTGCCGATTTAGGATTGCATTGGCCGAGCATTATTTACCCAAGTTCGGTAAAGTTTCGGCGCCTTCGTGTCAGATCGGCATATCCTCGTGACGCCGGCTCGCTTCTGGACTCATTCTGAGCGCTTCGCGTCTTTCAGTTTGCGGATCCCCCGAAGCAGCCTCGAAGCAGCCTGACCGGAAACTTACTAGGGGGTGCGGGGTCACCGCACGGTTTTGGGACCCGGGTCGTTCTCCGAGGGCGTCTCGGGCGACCGGGGCATCCGACGGCCCAGAACCGTGCGTCGACGGGCCGTGCGGTGAGGTCTTGGGGTATTTCGAGGTCCCCGCACGGCCTGTCACCGCACCGTTTCGGGACTCCAAACCCTCGTGCTCCAGCCGTCTCCCTCCCCCTTGTCCCTTCCCTCCTCCCTCCCTTCCTGTTTGTAAGGGCTGCGCCAACCACACGTGGCAGGTGGTAAGGAACATCGATCCCCAAGGGGGGCACAATCGAAGACGAGCATGGCAGGTATCGAGGGCTCGGGATATACATGTTGAGCGGCACGAGCAAACAAGAGCAAACAATGTTGAAATGATTGTTCATGTTGAGGTCGTCCTCGCTTGCGAAACCCGCGTGATCCACCCACCCGCGACCCACCCCGCGCCCGCCCCCTCACTCTTATTCGTAATTTTCAGGGTGTTACGCAAACTTTCGGAGGTCCGTCCGGATTTTCCTGGATCGGCGCTGCCTCCTCCCCCCCCCTCCCCTGGCGGCGCCGCCCCTGGCGCGCTCCGCGCGCCAAGGAGGGGATGGGCCAGCGCCGCTCCAAGAAGAGATCCGCGCGGACCTCCGAGTGTTCATGCTTACGCAAGTCTCTCCTCTACTGTCAGCTCCCCCACTGGCTGGTGACTCCTTCTGCCAGGTAGTGGCCGGCCTGGGCGAGAGTCGGATGCGCACGTGGCCAGACGTCTCTGCGGCGTTGAGCCCTTCAGCGGCCGTGCAAGCGTGCCGCCGCATGTCTGTCCGGCAGGTGTCCTCAGGATGCTCCGCACGTGGATGCAGCCGTGTGTAATTCGAGCTGCCTGGTAATTACTCAGTCGTCCACCTCGTCCGCCTGCTCCTCATCACAGGATCACCATCATCACCATGAGTATCGTCATCACCATCAGGGTCGTCAGCCACCTACTCGCCCCCTCCCTACATGAACACCACTTCCCGGACGAGGGGGACCACAGGGGGGAAAGGCGAAGAGGAGGGGGGGACGAGGAGGAGGGGGAGGAGGAGGAGGAGAAGGAGGAGGAGGAGGAGGAGGAGGGTAGGTTGAGGATAGGAGGAGGAAGAGGAGGGATGAGGGAGAGAGGGAGGGAGGAAGGGAGAGAGTAAGTAAGTAAGTAAGTAAGTAAGTAAGTCAGTCAGTAAGTAAGTAAGTAAGTACGTAAGTAAGTAAGCAAGTGAATGAGTGAGTAAGTAAGTAAGTGAGTGAGTGAGTGAGTGAGTGAGTGAGTGTTTGAGGAGGAGGAGGAGGAGGAGGAGGAGGAGGAGGAAGAGGAGAGCTAGGAGGGCAGGGGGAGAGGCAGAAGGAGGCGGAGGCCGAGGAGGGGAGCCTGGAGCCTCTCCCGCGCCCTCCCCCGTCGACCTCCCCCCCGCCGCTCGATGCTGCAAACCTCCGCCGCGTCGGCCTCGACGGCGGCCGTCGCTGGCCCGTCGGCGGCTCTCCGCGGCCTTCGGCGGCGCGTTCCCGGTGGCGCCGGCGCGCGCCCGAGGACGTGCAGAAGCACGGGCTCCACGCCCTGGGCTGCCTGGCAATGTTCGGAGGCGGGGGCGCGGAGGCCGCACGCGGCGCCCTCTCGGGGGAGTGCCGGTTTTTCCTCCGGGGCTCCTCGTCGTCGTCCTCGTCCTCCTCCTCTTCTTCCTCCTGCACTAGCTCCAGCTCCTCACTCTTCGCTTTTCGCCCTTCTCCTCCTGCTCTACCTCCTCCTCCTCCTCCTCCTCCTCCTCCTCCTCCTCCTCCTCTTCCTCCTCTTGCCTCTTGCCTGCCTTGGGGGATGAGTCCATTGAGGTACCCCACTAGAGAGAGAGAGAGAGAACAAAAAAAAAAAAAAAAAAACTGGGGCCACCTCCATCAAATGTTTGTCACCTCAGGAACCAGGGGCGACATCTGGAACCTGAGGCCGCGACAGGAGGTGGACCCAAGCTTCTGATCATTCAGGCCAAGCCTTAAGATCAGGAGGAGGTTTCCCAGCCATTACAGCCCTCCCCACCCTCCTCCCATTATCCGTGAGGCCAGGGACGCACGTTCTCCCCAACTTCAGCAATTTGCCTCTTGAGGGAATCCCTGAGTTTCCACAGAGCTGGCTCCAATACGCGCCCCTGTAGGCTTCCAGCTTATGGGAGGGGTGGGTGGTAGCAGGCTGGCCTGGGCAGTTCGATCGGAGGAAAGCCTTTCGCTCACCTCCGTCTGACTGAAAACAAACCGTGCACCGCCAGGGTCCTCGCGCCCTCTGCTCCACGACGTGAAGCGACCGAGAGACAAGGAGGGCCAGCTGCGAATTCTTTTCCCGACGCAAGACCGCAAAAGGAACTCCTGGCCTCCTCCTGGCGGCTGCCCTTAGACGCCGCTCCGTGCAGGGCTGGGGCCTGCTGGACAAGGGACATCGAAACCGCCAAGAGAGAGTCAATAACCTGTTGACACAGACTACAGTAGGGGTCTTGAAGAAGGAACCCTTTTCGTTGGGGAGGGGCTCCGTGTTCCTTGATTGTTTCACAGCTTGCCTCAGGTTTTCCCAAGGTTTTCGATGGGGAATCGAAGGTGAACTTATGGGAAAAAGGAACCTCGTTCCTAATTTGGGGTTCCTTAGGTCAACGCCCCGACTGTATCAGATTCAGCTACCTGACGCCTGGCATGAAACGGGACTTGGGCCACCTCAGCTCTTTTCTGCGCAGCCTTATCCGCCAGACGATTCGCCTGCCAGTGGACTGGGTCCAAACCGAGGGTGGTCGCATCTTCAGGAGAGAGGTGAGAGCGGATCTTGTGCACTGTGATCGGCCTGTCCCCTACAGCGCGCCAGAAATCCTTCCACATCGATATCATTTTCTTGTGCCTGCGGCGGGGCCCTGCTCGAACTCCCCGCGCGACACCTTCATTATCAATACCACACTCGATGGGGCCCGTAGTAAGCTGGGCCGCTCGGGTGATAGCAAAAAAGTTCAGTTGCTGGCACAGTCTGGTTATCACATGGCAAATGGCCTAGCCCCCACGCGACATGCTGGGCACCACGCAGGATGGCGAAGCCCCGGCCACATCTCCTCAGCCGAGGATCTGAGCTTTCCTCACCCCCCGCCCCGTCCGACCCGATCACACACCCCAGATCAAGCGCATCAGGATAGACTTCAAGCTGGTCCGAGAGCTTTTCTACACCCTGGATCGGGACACACACACACACACACACACATGCTGGCACGTCCAGGCCAGGGGGGGGACCGCGAAGCCAGAAAGACGCAGCATCACTCGCCTCAGCTTCCGCCTGCCTCTTCAAGGAGGCGTTGGAACCTGGGATGGGATCATTAAGTGGGTAACTCCAGAGCTGGTGGAGAAGCGTCTCTTGGGGCGGCCCGCACCGAGGACGGGAAGGAGAGGGCCAGACTGGGTTGGGCCCTAGGATGGGCTCATCATCGCACAAGACACAGTGCTGACCCTCTTGAAACTGCAACGTATCTGCTACGTGCGACGCTCCACCCAACATCGCGTCAAAATCGCCTTCTTCCTCGTCAATGCCTGGCACGGTCCGCGGAGGATCAGGAGGGAGAGGGCTGCAACCTCGGGGTCTGGGGTCGGCTCAGACGAGGGCTCGGGGGCCTGGGGCTTCGGGAAAGGTCGCCTAGCCTCGTCCCCCAAACGCCTCGCGGCCACAGGGCCCAGGAGAGAACCATTTTGAAAACTCCAGCCTGATCAAAAGCTCCCGAGGTCCTGAGTTTGTTCAACCTCCGAAGCGGCACAAACATGTCATCTCGACCTGCCAGACTACTACCGCGGTAATGTTCGCTGGCCTTTTCCAGGCTAAAGCGTCAAACGCCTCTAGCAAGTCTACCGCGAGGCGCTCTGGGTCGCAGGCGAGCACGTGGAAAACCTCACCATCCGCTCCAATCCAGGTGGTGGGATCCTGCGGCGTCCAGCCTGCGTCCAGCAGACAGGCAACTGTAGCTGCCACGAAACCTGAGACTCTCTCCCAGCGTGTGGCAGGGTCCTGCAGGCTGGCAACCTCATGCACCCACGCTTTCCGGAGACCGTGCTGGTTTGCTTCCTGCAGGCTCGGGAGCAGTTTGTTCCACTCCATCAAAACTCGCATTCTGGTCGAACGCATGGGGTCATGGCGGGGGTCCTGGAAAGCGCGACGGAGAACCGTCCCTTCTCTCCTCCCCACCATGCCCGCCATGGCCGCTCTGGCCTTTAGGGCCAGGGTCGGACTCACTCCTTGGGCCTCAAGGCCCCACGGCGCATGAGCTAACCGCCCAGTCCGTGCTAACGTCTGACAGCGACGGTCAGTCTTCACAACTCGTTTGATCATGCTCGCTCGATGGCTCGCTGACTGGAACCGCTGCTTACGTACTGCTACTGAGCATCTCGCTCCTACAGTGCCAATGCCGAGGTCCTTTCCCGTGCCCCCCCCCCCTTCAACGCGAAACCACGCCGAGCCAGATCAGCGAGGACCTCCTTGGCCAGGGCAGGGGGGGGGGGGAAAGAACCTGGCTCTTGGCCGAACTCTTGAAACCTGATTTGATTAGGGCGGTGCCTAGGCCACCGCTAGCCTCAGCAGCCTGCTTCATAATGACCTCAGCCTTGCCTATGTGCCGCTGACTCAGGTCATCCACCCAAGTCTCCAGGGCCAGGGGTCGGAAACGGGCATGGGCGTCCTCCAGGATATCCCAGAGGGCGACCTTCGAGATGTCGACGCTCTGGGAGCAGCCTGCCAGGAGGCTCCTGGCTGGGCACAAAGCTTGGGAGATGGCACCTGATGCGCGAAGGCGCCGCGGGGCCCTATGCACATCTAGGGCCAGGAATAATGGCATGAGAGGGTAGTCTACGCCAGCTGCTATGTCTACGACTGTGCGCAAATCTACATGGTCATACAATTTTTCCAGGCCCCAAAGAATCTGGATCCAGCTGAAGGCCATCGCCGTTGCGATCTCGCACTGCGTCTGTCGAAGTATGGCAGCTCGCAGGGCCGAAGAATCCCTCGCCGCCCGATCCCAAAACTGAGCCCGCTCCACCGTCCAGTCCGATATGTCTCGCCGACGCGCTCTGCCCCAGACTCGGTAGAGGCCCTGGATTGCGCTATCGGTCGGTTTGCTGCTACACTCTTAAAGATAAGTTGGATGCTGATGAGCCTGACCTGGGGTGGCCAGGTGAGCTCAGCTTCTGCTAGCCTGAGAATGTCTACAAGCTCTTGCAGGGCCTCGGGTGGGAGCTGCATCCAATCTCGTGGGTTCTGGAAATCAGTTCCCTGCCCAACGACAGGTTTGAAACATTTGAGTGCGTCGACAACCTCGTGTCCAGAGAGGGGTTCCCGCGATTGGGCACCTCGAGACGCCCCAAACCCAAGCCCTCCCCAGAGCTTTTGACGCCAGGGATTCAGCGGGTTCGTGCAAAACTCTGCCGTTCGGGTCACGCTCGAGGCTCCCCTACCCCCTCCTGTGCTCCTCCCCGTGCAGGAGACAGGAGGTGCAGGCCAGGCACGGGTCTGTCCAGGACCCGTGCAGACGAATCCTTGTCGCCATCCTGCATGGGGAGAGCGGGGAGACGCTCCGCGGAAGAGGAGGAGGAGGAGGAGGAGGGCGGACCAAGAGCAGCACAGCACGGTCGGGAACGCTTCCTTCGCGTGTCGCGCGCAGCCGGCTCCGGCCCGCCACGCATCTGCGTGAGGTTCCGGGCACGCCCCGGCATCCGAGTATCAACGCTCCGAGCGTTTGTTTCCCAGCCCCCCATGCTACGAAGCAGGGCGACGCGCGATCGGCTTGCAGGGCAGAGCGTGTGGCAGGGGCCGCCGCCGCGACACAAGTGCCTCACTGCAGGTTTGGAGGATGAGAAGGAGGATCAGCCGATCGGGATCAGGAGTGGGACCCGGCGCGAGCAGGTAATGTGTTGCCAAGATGCTGGAATGAGTCACAGTTCAATTTTGGAAAGGACGTATTTTCATTTGGGGCCACCCATGGTGGTTCCTCTGGCGCTCCTAGGGGCTTCGTTCTCGTCTGGCGTGATTTGATGGGAGCAGCCTGACTGCAAATACTTGCGGGAAGAGGATCAGCAGACGCTTTGGGGGACGACGAGGGCAAGAACGAAGAGGGAACGACGGCGAGTGCGACGACGAGGGCAAGAACGAAGAAGGAGCAGGAACGAACGGAGTCGAGCAAGGACGAACGGTCAACGAAGAGGGCAAGGACGAACCGGGAAGGTGGAGAAGGAGGGCTCACGAGGGCAACGAGCGAGGAGGGAGCGGTCGCCGACGACGAGGGCAAGAGCGAGGAGGGCAAGAGCGAGGAAGGCGACGACGAGGGCAGGAGCGAGGAGGGCAAGAGCATGGCCACCGGCGCCACCAGCGCGGTCGCCATTGGCCATCGGCATCGCCCATACGGCACCTCCCCTGACCTCCCCTCCCTTCCCTGCCCCCCCGGCCGCTCGCCCCGGGCAATTCTGAATTCCTCCCCAGATCCCCTCTCCCTCCCTCCCTCCCTCCCTCCTCCGTCGTCGCGCATCGTCCGCAGCGCGCTCCAGGGGGGGGGGGGGGAAGGCGGGAGTAGTGAGGAGGAGGAAGGAAGGAGAAGGAGGGAGGAGTAGGAGGTGGACGAGGCGGAGGAGGCGGAGGGAGAGGGGAAAGGACGGGGGAGGAGAGGGAGGAGGAGAGAGGAGGAGAAGGGGGATGAGGAAGATGAGCAGGAGGAGGAGAAGAAGGACGAGAAGGAGGAGGAGGAGGAGGAGGAGGAGGGGGAGCAGTGGGGATGAAGATGAGGAAGAGGATTGAGGATTGAGGAAGGAGGAGATGGGGGAGGCGAGGTGGCCAAGAGGAAGGATACAAAAGAGGGAGGAGGGTGAAGGATGGACGGAGGACGGAGGAGGACTAAAGTCGGAGGGGGGATGGAGGAGCGTGAATGGAGGAGGGGGGAGGGAAGAGGAGGGAGGAGAACGAGGAGGAGGAGGAAGGGGAGAAGGAGCAGGAGGGAGGAGGGAACACGACGACATGCTCCTTCCACGTCCAGTCGGCGTAGCCTTCGACCGTTTGTTGTCGTGCCGGCTCCTTGTCATTGATCGGTCTCTGCCTACCCCTTGCGCCGCCCTTGCTGGCTGCATGGACTCGGGCGCCTCCTGGCCCTTGCGCAGTTCTCGCTGGCGGGCGAGGCCGTCTCTGGCGCATGCCACATCAAGGGCACTAATCTACCCGCGCGTGCTCCTCCGGCCGCGCGCGCCGGCTGCGCTTCGTCGACCCCGCCGCGATGCTGCGCACTCGGCTTCCGAACAAGACCACAAACAAAAAGGAGGGGAAGACGAGAAGGAGGAGGAGAAGGAGGCAGGAACAAGGGAGGGGGAGGAGGCAGAGGAGTGAGGACAAGCTAGTTTCGCTCGCGCCATATCTGAAGTCCGACCTATCCCGAATCTCACCGCTCCCTTCCCACTGCGCTGGCGCTCCCATGCCCGCCGACGGGTATCCTAGCGGACTTGAAACCCCCAAAGGACCCCAGGAAGGAACGAGGCGGAGGAGGGAGAAGAAGGAAGGAGGAGTGATGAGCAGACCGGGCAGGAGGATGGAGGACCACCACGCTGACCAGGTCGCGCAACCCACGGGCGGGAGCACGGGCCATCTCGTGGGCCGCGCAGCCTGGAAGATCGGGCGGAGGTGGACGGAGGCGCAGGCGAAAGAGGAGCTCGCACGACAGGTGGCGGCCGCGGGCGCGTTCAAGCTCGCCCTGCGCGCCCTCTCGCAGCACAGGCCGCCGGCACTCGGGCCTGCGTACGGCATGTCCTCCTCCTGCTGTTGCTATTGGGTGGTTCTGTCGCTGTCCCTCACCTCTCACCTCTACACCCTCTTCTGCTTCTCCTCCTCCTTCTCCTGCTCCTCCTCCTCCTCCTCCCCCTCCTCCTCCTCCTCCTCTTCCTCCTGCTCCTCATCCGCCTCCTCCTCCTCCTCCTCCTCCTCCTCCCCACTCCTCCTCCTCCTCCTCATCCTCATTCTCGTCGTGATCCTCCTCGTCCCCGCCCACCGCCTGCTCCAAATCCCTCCTTCTCCGGCCCCTTCTCCGACTTGTGTTCCTCATCCTTCCCCTCACCATCATCCCCGCCCCTTCCTCCGATCGAGTTCACACATGCTGGCCAGACGACAGGCGCCCGTTGCGCAGCACTGGGCCAGCGTTCCTGCCCTCTGCTCAAGCAAGGCGGCTTACCGTGCAAGCGCACTGGCGGTAGGTGACATCTCGGCCAGGCTCAGCCTTCCCTCCTCCTTTTTTCCCTTCGCCTCCTCCTCCTCCTCCTCCTCCTCCTCCTCCTTCCCCTCACCATCATCCCCCTCCTTTCCATCCTCCTCCTCCTCCTCCTCCTCCTCCTCCTCCTCCTCCTCCTTTCCCTCCGTTGGAGCCTGCATATCGGAGAGGAAGGCGCGGTGGGCCCTGCCGCAGGCGGTCAAGGTTGAACGCCGCCAGTTCTTCAGAATCGTCCAACTTGGGACGGCCCAGCGATCGAGAAGCCGCCGACTTCTCCGTATCGTTTAACCGACCCCCATGCCCATCCCCGTCCCCCTCGAACCCCCCACCAAATTACCACCCCAGTTGGGGATACACCCCCCGAAACCCGAAGGGAACGGCCTATATCCCCATCTAGGGGGTAAATCGGCCAGTGGGGCCCAGGCCAAGCCGCTGGGGATGGGGGTCGGATAAACGATGCTCATTTTCAAGGTTGAACGATCCACATGGAGTCAGAGACCAGCGCCGACGTCGTCACGTCACGAAACTGCCATAAATTCCAAGGCGGCGCGAGTTAAAGTCAGAGTCCGTTTCGCCCCTGCTCCCACCTCCTCGTCTCCCTCCTCCTCCGCGGCCGTGCGTTCCGTTGCGTGCTATGTTAGGCGTGGGACGCAGAAGTTCCCGCTGGCGGTTGCCTCGTTTGCTTCATCGTGCCTCCCTCCTGTCGTCCCGCTTCGTCTGTCTTCCTCCTCTTCCTCCTGTCCGCACTGCGCCGTGGCTTCTCCCTGGTCGCAAACTTACCTAATCTGGCCTCGTTCCGCTTGATCCGCTTCAGTCCTGGCTAATCCAGCCCAGTCCCGCTCAATCTGGCCAAATCCAGTTTAATCCGGCTGAGTTGCATTCATAATTTTGCTTCATCTGGGACAGTCGTTTTCTAATATGGCTTAATAGCCCTTAGTCGGCATGGCGAAGAAGACCGCCCAGGACTTGCCTCCTAATCTCGACCGCCCTGGGAGCCCACCGGCGCGTGGACGCCGCCCACGACGTCGGCGGCGTCGTCGTCACTGTCGCTGTCGCTTTCGTTGTGAGAAGATCACGACGGGCGTCTTCTTTGTTGTTGTTCATGCTATGTTCGGCCGCTGGGGGCCTTTGCCGGGCCCCAGGACCGCCATTCAGGATACAAAGCTTGTCCCGGGGAATGGGTCGAGACCTTCTGAGTTCACGTTGTGATAAAATCTTGACGTCGGGGGTCTAGGTTCTCCTTTTCCCTCCCTCTCATCCTTCAGAGGGTCTTCGGTGCTTGCCCGAGGGTTTGCACGCAGCCGTTGGGCGCAGCAGTGAGTGACTCATCGGGCGTGGACAAAACGCCCCAAAGCGCCCACTTTCCCTTACGCCCTCCCTCTCCTGACTCCCCTCCCTCCTCCTCCGCCCCTCCCTCCTCCCTCCTCCTCCTCCTCCTCCTCCTCCTCCTCCTCCTCCTCCTCCTCCGCCTCCTCCTCCGTCCTCCTCCTTCTCCTCCTCCTCCTCATCCGCCTCCTCCTCCGTCCTCCTCCTCATCCTCCTCCTCCTCCTCCTTTCCCTCCTTCTCCTTTCCCTCCTCCTCCATCCTTTTTTCTTATCCATAGCTCTTCCCTGCCGCGCCCCGAGACGTGCTCGTGGGGCGGGCCGGGCGTTTCGCCCGAGCCTTCCCCACGATGTACTGATCCGAAGCCGCAAGCTTGCAGCCGTTCTCAAGCTCTGTGTCTCGCTTTCGCGCCGTGCACCTTCGTACCCACATGCTGCAAGAGCCTCACGGCTGGAGGTCGGGTCGTTCTCAGGTGTCGGTGGTCGTCTGTGCGCCGCGCAGACTCGCATCACAAGCTTGCAGGAGCTTCGCAGGTGGAGTGCGGTTCCTTTTCGCGTTGTGGTCCTCGCCCAGACCCCGCGCGCATTCGCGGTGAAAGTTCGCCGAAGCTTCACGGACGGAGAGCGGGTCGTTTTCAGAATATGATTTTCGCCTGGGCGCCCCACGCATTCGTCTCACATTTCTGCAGGAACTTCACGGATGGAGGGCGGCTCTTTTTCAACATGTGGATCGCGCCTGAGCGCCGCGCGGGTTCGCTTTACTTCGCAGGAGTTTCACGGATGGACGGCGGGTGGTTTTCAACGTCAACACGCGATTCTCTCTTGAGCTCCGCGCGCATTGCTGCTAAAGCTTCACGGGCTGAAAAAGGGGATGCTTCTGAACATAACCCACTGCCCCGATACAACAAATATCCCCCCCTCCTTTCCCCTTCTAGCATCTTTATCCAGTGTCAATAGAATTTGATTGTGGAGAGGGCGCGGAGGCCGAACTTGATAAACCCATGGGGAAGTCTCACCATTTCAGCTTCCGAAGTCACGAGTGAGTGGCAGGGCTATGGGGTTCTCACCATTTTATTTTTCCCAAGTCACGAACGTGCGGCAAGGCCATGGGATTCTCACGTGTTCAGCCGTTCCCGAGTGAGGAACGTGTGGCCGGGGCATGGGGACCGATTGGATTTTGAAAGTACATGAGTTTTTCGAGCAAGCAGCGCATTTGAGTTACTTGTTCTGCGCATCCCTCATATGGTGCTTGGCCGCTCCTCCTCCTCCTCCTCCTCCTTTTCCTCCTCCTCCTCCTCCTCGTCCTCCTCCCCCCCCATCCTCCTCCTCCCCTCCCTCCCCCTCCTCCTCCTCCTCCTCTCGTTCTCCTCCTCCTCCTCGCCTCCTCATCCCCTCTTCTCCTCCTCTTCTCCTCCTCCTCCTCCTCCTTCTCCTCCTCCTCCTTCTCATTATCCTCCTCCTTCTCCTCCTCATCCTCCTCCTCCTCCCCTTCTCCTCCTGTTCCTCCTCCTCTTCCTCCCCCTCCTCCTCCTCCTCCTCCCTCCTCCTCCTCCTCCCTCTCTCCTCCCTCCTCCCTCTTCCTCCTCCTCCTCCTCCTCCCCCCCCGCAGCTGCCTAGGTCCGAGTTTCCCCGAGTCTTTGAGACTCCAAGCTTTCGAGTCTCTTCGAGGCACCGAGCTGCACCTCCCTCAGGGGCAACGATACGGGGGGGGATACGGCAGATGGGGATGCATCGATCCCCAATCGCCCATTGATCGCAGAGGGTGGTTCGATAGCCCGAACGTGCCCAGGAACGCGCGGATTCACGACCGGGCGCCCATCGCCGATGCATCGGCGATGTATCGCCGATTCCAAGTCGACGTTCCCCCCCCAATGCCTGTCCCCCCCACGCATCGTTGCCCCTGATCGCGTCGCGAGCCTCAGCCATGTCCCAGGCCGCCGAGCGCGCCCAGGCGGCGACCCAGCAGGCCGCGGCCCTGAAGGGTGTCTTGACCCAGAGCGCGAGCCCGAGCTCGAACGAGATTCTGGAGTGCATGGCCAAGCAGAACGAGAAGATCTTCGACGAGCTGCCCGACGAGATCGCAATTGCCGGGTCGCGCCAATTCCAGTCGAGCGCGCAAGGCGCTAACGCAGCAAGAATGACGGCCTGCTTTTCAAAGGTTGACAGCGCCTCGTGGTCGGTGAGCGCCCAGCAGGCCGTCCTCGCGATGGTCTACAACGGTGGTTCTTTCAAGATCACCGAGCACGGGCACATCTTCACCGAGAAGGACAAGAGCCGCGTCGAGCTGGCGGTGGCGATGTTCTGCAAGACCCAGTGCGAGAAAGACGCCCGCCTCTGCGACATCTTCGAGGATCGCGGAGAGCCGCCTGCAAAACTCTCCAGGCCCATGCCGAGCTCCAAGTCGAAGGTGCTCGAGTTCGCCAAAAAGCAGGACTTCGAGCTCGGCATCGAGAGCGCCCAGCGCCTCAGCTTCGGCTCTTGCACCGAGCGCGTCGGGGAGGCCCTCTCCGACACCCCCCCCGTGCGCCTCAACCTCCACGGCCTCGTGCTGCCGATCAACAAGAGCTTCGAGCCCGTCGAGAAGATGCCCGAGGAGTTCTCCTCCGGCGTGCCAAGCGATCAGCTCTTCGAGATGATCCCCCACGAGGCCAAGCAAGTCGCCAACTGGCGCCGCGACAACGGCGCGGCGCAGCTCGTCAACCGCGCGCAAGCCGCCGCGCCAGCGGTCGCCAAGTGGCGCTGGAACCCCACGCGCACTGCCGACGTGGCCCGCGAGCCCCAGGAGGTGGACAAGCGCTCCGAGCATGACTACGCAAGCACCGGCAGACAGCTCCACTTCGAGACAATGGCTCTCGATCAGCACGCCAATGCGAATTTCGAAGAGTCCGCCGAGACCCACGCCGACTACGACAAGATGCGCGACCAGCGCGAGCCCGAGAAGAGCCAGGCCGACGCGAAGGCCGAGCCCGAGGCCGACAAGTCGACGCCGAAGGGCGCCTGAGAGCCGCGCGGCGACGAGCGGCGAGCGCCTGGCGCGCGAGCGCCCCGAACCAAGCGCCCCCGTGCTTTTCGCTGCGACGGCGCGCGAGCGTCTCGAGGCGCGCGCTCGAGCCCCGTCTGCTTTCATGCCCCGGGCGAGCGTTCGAGCGCGCGCGAGTGGCGCCCCAAGCTGCGGGGCACTACTTCCCCC